TTATTGAAAATTCCATCCACCCCTTTGACAGAGTCAGGACCCTTGGAGTCACCTGCTGGTGGCGCTTGCCCCGTTGTCATCCCTCTGTCCCTGGCTGTCCTCCCGGCCTCCAGGCTCAGCCCTCCAGCCACGGTCCACAGGGCGAGCAGAGCTATCCTTCTGAAGACAGATCGGACCGCTCTTACCAAAGAGTTCAGTGCCTTCTGCCGAGGGGCCTCCCACCCTCCTCCTTACCAGAGGCATCTTGACAGGCCTTCTGTGGGCTCCTCTCAGCTGAGGAGCGCTGCCGTGTCCTTCTGGATCCACGGGGCTCATGACTCGGGCCCCGCTTGTGGCCCTGCTCTCCGTTCCCCCCGGCTCCCGGTCCTTCTCTTGGGGGTACCAATTCTTAGGACTGACTAAGCACTTAAAGTGGAAGATGCTATCGAAAATTAGGAAGAATGCTTCTTTGTCTTAGCATCCTTCCGTGGACTGCTTATTTACTTCACTTGTCTTGAGCATATCAAGCCTTTGTATCTTGAAATGATTGGTGTCTCTAAACATAGGAGAATCTACTCAGTTGAACATCTCTGTTTGACTGTATACTCATGTTACGTATCTACAAGGCGGAAAATGAGAGTACTTATCTTTTGGTAGAGCGAAGCCCTAATTTCCATGGTCTAATTAAATTATGATGGTAAATATCCCTTTAAAAGGAAATGCGGTGGTTTTATTTAATCAGTACGGTTGTTACCGGCACAGCAAACCCACCGAGTGCTGAGTGATGCGTGTATTTTAATAGGACTAGTCCTGTTCCTGCTATTGGCACTGGGCATGTAAGTCCGCTATGAGCCCCATTTCCTGGGCATCGCCATGGTGTTTGAGTTGTGTCAGCAGGTAGTTGGATACACGCCTGCTGTAGAGACCCTCCAGCTCAGCTAATTCGGGGTCACCCTGTTTTCAGGGAAGCCCAGGAGCAGTCACTGGGAGAAGGCTCCAGAAAGCTGGTGGTGTGGGCTGAGCTGGGCCACTGCCCTTGAGCGTGGCCGGAGCTGGAGGCCCCAGAGCCACTGCGGTGGGGGTCCCACACTGCCTGCACGCCCCGTCCAGGTTCTCGGGCCACCCCAGGCCCCGCCTGTTTCTGGGGGTGGCTCCTGGCAGATTGAGAAGGGGGCTGATTGGAACTCAGCCCTGCTTTGCTAACTCGTTCCTGGCCTGGAAAGCTCCTCCGTCCTGGGTTTCTCTCTTTGTTTCTGCGGGAAGCGTGAGAGCTCTGGGCTGCCTTGCCTGGTGCTGCCCCAGGCTTTAGGGGTTGGCACCGCTGGTGCAGAAGCTCCCGCCTTTCCTGCTGCAGACGGCTGGCTGGTGGTGGCGTCGGTCAGTCCCTTGCTGCATGTCGGCAACGGCGTAGCCACTGCTTGGCTCCACCGTGCTGGACCGTCCTCTGTAAAAACGGTGGCCACTGTTGGCTGTTTCTGGGTCCCGTTGCCTGGGTGTTTCCCAGTGCGTGTTTGTTGTGAGTTGTATCGTTCCTGCAGAAGAGTGCGTGTGTGGGAGGACGATTTTCCTTACACGTTCCTCACCGTCATCCAGGAGCATAGACAGAACAGACACTAAGTCAGAGCCTCCCCGTCTGGCCGCGGAAGTGCGCGTCCCGACAGTCAGACTCCGTGTCACCTGTGGCTGGACCCCACATCAGCGGCGTCACGGCTCTACTCCGCGGCTCTCTGGGTTTGTTAGTGTGGCAGGTTACGTCGGTTGATCTCCATACATGATTCATTTTTACATTCCCGGAGTAGATCCAACTGGGTCATATGTCTTTTAAAAAGATTGTTGGATTGAGTTTGCTGATGTTTTCTTTAGGATTTTTACATCTGCATCAATGGGTCAGTTTGGCTGATAGTTTGTATATGATTTTTGTTTCCTGATTCTTGTTCTTTGTAGTTTAGTCAGATTTTCTATTTCTTCCTGAGTCAGTTTCAATAAATTGTATTTTTCTTAGAATTTGCTCATTGTACCTAAGTTTACAAAATTTTTGAAATGAAGTTCCTAATACCTTCTTATTATATTTTTATGTTGTGAGAATTTGGAGTGATAATTCTGTTCTGGTATCTCTTGTTGCCTAACACACCCCCCTCCCCCCAAATAAGGCACAACTTAGTGGCCTGGAACAACCAGTTTGGTTTTGCGGGTGATCTTGTGGGGCAGGGATTGGAGCAGGGTGTAAAGGGGATGGTTTGTCTGTGCTCTGTGGGACTGGGACCTCTGCAGGGTCCCTCGGGTGACTGCAGGTGGCCGTGTGTCTGCAGCGTTGGTCCCAGCGGTCAGCTGGGGTTCATAGTTCTTGTCAGCATCTTGCACATCTTGTCTGAGGAGGCTTCCTGAGAGACATGGTGGGCACCTGCCTGGGGCTGACCCGGGCTCTGTCTCTCTGCGTGGACTCATAGCTGGATGGTCTCAGCCATGGAATCGGCGTCCTGCAGAGTCTTTTGAGCCGGCAGCCCCCGAAGGCGTGGACCCCACGCAGCGACTCTTCTGCTTCCACCTGACCCATCATGGTGGTCCCAGAGCCTGCTGAGACTCTCAGGGACGCCCTGAAGGGCCCACATCACTCGATGGCAGGGGTGTCACATAAAGGTGGGCACCCAGCTCTCCACTGCCCTGTTTCCAGTGCAGGCTGATGTGGGCCTTTTCTCTCTTCTCTGTTTGTTGGGATTAGCCTGAACAGTGTCTGTCTTTGTGTGCCCGCTAGTATGTGTGATTAACGCAGGTTTAATTTCTTCCTTTTTCCCCTCCCATTTTCTTGGGCTTATTTTGTTCTCCTTGTACTGACTTACTGAGGTGGGCATTCATTGATTCCCCCCACCCCGTTTTCTGAAAGCGTGAGCCTGAGCTGCACGTTTACCACGGGGGCGCTGCCTTACCTGCGTGAGCACACTTCCCTATGTAATCTCTCTTGCCTTTAAGTATTTTCTAGTTTCTACTGTGATTATTTCCTTTTATCTGTGGACAACTTAGAGGAATGCTGCCCAACGTCCAAACATAGAGACTTTTCTGTTGCCCTCTGGCTGTTAGTCCCAGGGTGCGTGGCACTGCGGGTGGCCGTGGGCTCTGCCCGACCAGCCCTGGGGTGCATCCGCTCGGGGCGGAGGCTTCCGTATGTCCGTGGCGTCAGCTGCTGTCCTCTTCTGCCCCCGTGACCACAGCCTTCTCCGTCTTTGCCCACTCCCCGTCGCACTCCTGCTGAGACTTCACTGTCACTGGGCCAAGCTCTCTGTGTCTGCGACTCCATTCGGCCCTCACACTGCACACGTGGCGCCCATCCTCCGCGTGGCTGTGCAGGACCTGGAGGCCGCACACTCCTGGAGGCACTCGGCCCTGCGGCTAGAGCCAGGCAGCCTCCCAGGGCCCCCTCTTGCCGTCTGCACCCACAGCCCTACGGCCCCCTGGGTGTGCGGCAGCTCCCATCACCCCATTCTGGTTCTTCCTGTTTAGACTGCAGAACCCAGCCCCCCGCGACTCCGGCTCCCCTGGGGCAGCCATGTCCCGGGCATGGTCCCTCCAGCAGACATCCGGGCTCGGACTTCCGCCCTCTCTCTGGGCCAGCGGGTCGCAGTGTGGGCACTAGAACCCGGTTCTGTGAATCGTGGCCGTGTTCTTCCTGCTGTCGCCCTTTCTCTATGCCGTCTGTGGACCTCGGTTGGTACAGTGACATTTGATCTCTTTCACACGTCGTCCTTCCTCCTTGGATTGCAGGAGGCTCCGGTCCTGTTCTTTGTTATTTGTTAAGGGGGCTCGCTGTGTCTCCTGCACGCTCTCCAACCAGGGCAGGAACTGCCGGCAAGATTACTGATGGGGGGGTGGCGTTGAGGAATGGGGGGGCCACGGCAGTGCCACTTCCTTTATTCTCCTCAGCTGGGTGTGGAGACAGGACTGGTGGGGCACTAATGGGGTCAGTGACGGTGTGCACGGACCTGTGTGCGGGGCCCCGAAGCCTCTGTGCTGGACTCGACGGCTGTGTGACCTGTAATCCCAGGCTAATAGGTCATTGTCATCAGTCCCAGTTAGACCAGGTGACAGCCACATAGGACATGGGGACCATATCTTAGACCTGTCCTCGCAGGCCTGCTGACACACGTTACATATGAATTAAAGTGAGTCACAGCTGAGATGTGGAGGGGCTTAGAGACTGGTCACTTCTAACCCCTGAGGACCTGCAGCTGGGGCAGGTGGCCCCAAGGAGGTTCGTAGTGACTGGACCGAGTCTGCACAGTTAGGGGCCCCTCCAAGTTCAGCGATGCACCTGTCTATACTCGCTGCCAGTCTTCTGGGCGCCCACTTGGGGACCCGCTCATTCTTCCCTGTAGATGCTAGCAGGCAGCTCTGCACTGGAGAAGCCCCACTCTAGACTTTCCCTTCATGTGGATATTGGTTTGTTTTTCTAAAAGAAAATGTTAACATTGCATATTCAGGTTTTGTCAGTATATAAGCATGTTGAAATACTCTCTTTAATGAGTTGTGAGTAGAAAACATTTTTATGCTGAGAGGAAGTGGCATGGAGATGTTTCACATGCCCTGCCTGCAGACATGCATGGCCTGCATCTTCTAAGCCCGGGCAGAAGGGGCAGGGGAGGCCTGCATCCGTGCATTTCTGAGGTCTGTCTGTACGCATGCATGGGCACATGCCACACGCGTGCATGTGGCATTTTATCTTACCGAAGATGGTAGGTGCACATGGGGTTTCACCGGACGCCTCACTCCTCAGCATGTGGGTTGGTGCGTGTTTGCATTCGTATGTTGGTGAGCAGAGGTCCGATGGTGCGTGTGCACCTGCCTCTTGTGACCGTGGGGGTGAAGGTGTGACTCGTTGTTGTGTATCTGCTTTAGAAAAGCATAAGAGTACATTAAAAATGATTTAAGCTTGTATTTAGAAAGAGGACTTTTAATTAACAGCATTTATTATTAGAATTCACATCTGAAGTGTTGAAAAGGCCAAGTAATTGGATCTTTCTGTTACACAGAGTGAAGTCTCTCCAGCTGGGCGTGGCGAGCTTATGGAGTGACTGAAGGAGATGTGCTGAGCGCGCCCATGCTCTCCGGGTCACGCAGCCCTGCCTGCACCCAGGGAACCTCTGCCCAGGGTCCGAGCAAACACAGACACTAAACAAATCTAAAGGTAAGGTAAAAACCTGCTAACACTTGACTGATTAAAAATACCTTTTGGCTGATGTAAACTGATTAGTTAAGGCTGTTTGCCTTTTCAAGTGTGTTTTATTAGTAAGTTCCAGCACAGATTGTTACTGTTAATTCTCCCAGTCCCAGGGGGCCCAGACTACGCGCAGGCCCCGCCGCGGCTCCAGGTCGGTGTGGTACTGCCCCCCCGCGGCCGTGTGGCCCAGAGCCGCCCGGCTTCCCGTCTCCTCCACGCGCCGGGCGTGGAGCTGGACTTGCTGTAAAGCTTTCTACTGTACGTTAGTTCTTTTGAGGTGATTAAAAGAAAATTTACTTAGTATTTAACTGGTGACTATTGCATGAGTCAGCATCTGCTTTTGAGAGAAGTCGAGGCAAACTGGAGTCCCTGTAAAGTTCGTACTGTGCAAGGTTAATTTATGGCCTGTGGAGTGACTAATTCAAGGAAGTCCTGCTGTGGGGAAGAAGCGTGAGGACGGTCGGCAGAGGGCTGCTTGATGCGCCTGCGCCCGTTCACCCGTTCTGCAGAGGCTGACAAGTGCCCGGGGTCTTGGGCAACCACAGAAGGAGCAGGGGCGGAGCTCACGGTGGGGAGAGGGGTGCCCACCATCTCTGGGGAGTGCAGGCGCGCCCACATCTGCCCGCCGTTTCCCAGTCTGTACGTGTCAGGAACCTAAGGAGATCAGCTCCCAGGGAGACCCTTAAAGGAGGGTTTGCTCGATTTTTAACCGCTGCCCCCCCGCCCCCCCGCTTCTAGTGCAGGAGCCCTGAGAGTATGGAAAGGGTGAAATGAAGGTCACCTAGCTTTGCCGTGCGGTGGGGTGGGGTTTCCTTCAGCCCCGGCTCTTCTTTTTTTTTTTTTTTAAAGATTTTATTTATTTATTTGAGAGAGAGAATGAGATAGAGAGCATGAGAGGGGGGAGGGTCAGAGGGAGAAGCAGACTCCCTGCCGAGCAGGGAGCCGGATGCGGGACTCGATCCCGGGACTCCAGGATCACGACCTGAGCCGAAGGCAGTCGCTTAACCAACTGAGCCACCCAGGCGCCCCTGCCCCGGCTCTTCTGTTAGCTGGATTAGTGGTATGAAACCAGTGTCTCTGTAACTCGAGTGTATTCAAAGGTAGTGAGTGGCGCAGAGCCGGCCGAGTGTGCAAGAAACACTGTCCGTTCGCGTCACTGGTGCCATGCGGTCTGTGACTACCTGCATCTCGTGCCGTGGCCGTGAGCCCCTGTGTTCGCTTGCCTTGTATGTGAAATGGCAAGTATTTTTATCCCACGCAAGCGTGCACTGGGGAAGTGAATTATTTATAATCCTTTGTAGAAATAAATTCTCCTTAAAGGCATACAAACAATAATGAGGTCCGAAGCACATGCCTGGAGAGCAGAATTAAAGGCCTAGCCATTACCGACAGACGCAGCAACAGCGAGAACGACCTCTCCTTCCACGGGTTCTCCCACAGTAGATGTTCTAGCTGCAGAGTAGAAACTTTGTATTTCTTTCATAAAATGGAAGCTAATTTTGGCAACAAATAGTCTGATGTGTGATTACGTTCCTTTTTCAGGTGGGTTGGAAAAGAAAAGCGCGAAAGCTAAAGCTTTTGGCTGAGACGAGTCTTTGCTGGGGAGCACACCCCCCTCCCCGGCCCCGACGCCGCGCTCTGCCCTGTCGGTTCTCTAGAGCCCCTCTGGGCCCTGGCGGCAGCCCTGCAGCATCCTGCTTCACGTTTAGTTCACACATGCTCACTGCTGTTGCCTTCCTTAAAGAGATGAAGTTGTTTCTTGTGTCTTTAGATTTTATTCATTTATTTATTTGACACAGAGAGAGAGAGGGAGAGAGAGAGAGAGAGAGACAGAGCACAAGCAGGGTGATCGGCAGGGAGAGGGAGAAGCAGGCTTCCCGCAGAGCAGGGAGCCCGATGCGGGGCTCGATCCCAGGACCCCGGGGTCATGACCTGAGCCGAAGGCGGACGCTTAACGACTGAGCCACCCAGGCGTCCTGTATCTTGTGTCTTTAACACGTGAGAATGTCTGCTGTGGTTGGGCAGCTGGGGGTTGCTCCTGAGTGGTCCTCTCCACAACATGCAGTTGGCCTTGGGAGTGTCTCTTCTGCTCCTTATCATTGATTTCTTCTGTCCTTTAAGGGCTTACCTGATTAGGACTGTTCCACCCGGGACTCAAAGTCAGCTGATTGGGGACCTTATTTTGTCTTGGAAAATCCCTTCACCTTTGCTTTATGTTGCATTGTATTCATCAGATTCATAGCTCCACCCTCTGTCAAGGGGGGGATTATACGGGGTGTAGACACCAGAGGGTGGGGTGCCAGTTCCACACAGGCTGGGAAAAGAATTTGCTACACGGGTACCTGATGGGGCGGATACCTGACCAAGTAGCGTCCCTGACGGGGGCGCGTCCCTGACAGGGACGCTTAATTGACAGAGGCCTGGCTTTGTTTCCAGAGTCTATAATACATGAAGATTCCCACAAGTCAATAAGGACAAGACAGTGCGGTGGAATTAGGTGCAAAACACTTGCACAGTTTTTTCACAGAAGATGCAATCTGCGTGGCTAATAAACGTGTCAAATGTGCTCATTCATTTGGTAAGCGTGGGCAGCCTCCCAGAGGCCAGAGCCCATCAGCCTAGATGGACACGTGAAGGTGAGGATTAAGTTGGCATCTTTGTCCTCAAGGCCCGCCTGGTGCCTGCGGGCAGCATGCCAGAGAGCTGAGCCCAGGCCTGTAGGTGGCAGCTTGTGTACCCGAAAGGCTGGGCAGAGGCCTCCCCTGCAGGTGGCCAGGTGGAGTCTGAGTCTGAGTCTGAAGCAAAGAATGGCTTTTGCCTCTTTCAGGAATTGGAAACCAAGCAAGCAGAAACAGAATATGCAACAGCGACTGTATGTGGGCACAGAGACTGAAATATCTGCCATCTGGCTCTTCACAGAAAGGTTTGCAGACTTGCTGGAAGGGGTGAGCTTGCTGCATGGGGGCCCTGCCCGGGCTTCCTTGTCTGGGCTCCACTTCTGCCGGCACTCATCGGCCCCAGGAAGACTGCATCGTGGCCGTGTCTTCAGACACGGTGCCTCGGCCAGAATGTGTGTGAGCCAGAGAGCGGGCCACCTGTCCTCAGTGCCTCGCCATGCCCCGGCTCCAACGCTTAGCTCACAGAGACGCTCCTGACGGTGTGCCTGGGTCCTGGGACCCTTGCGCCATAAAAAGGCAAAGAAGTGCAGGTGACCTACAGGAAGCAGTGACTTAGGGGAAAAGACCAAATGGGACCAACTAGGAAAAGTGGCTCCGAGGAGGCAAAATGCTGGGACGCAGAAGTTAGCGAAACCCGACTCACAGTGGGGCCGTAGGGCAGTGGCTGAGACCAGAAGGGCTGTTTTGTTAGATTGGAAGAGGCATGGCGCGCTGAGCATGACGTGAGACTGCTCGATAGACGAAGACACCAGTGATGGTGCAGGTGACAGCGGGGGCAGGATTTGGGGGCCTTGGGTGACGCCCCCACTCCACTGCCATCCCCTCACATTCCGCAGGGGTCCTGGGAGCAGCGTGCTCCCCTCCAAGATGCCTCGACGTTCAAGACCAGCAGCCGTAGTGGACTAGGTGGGGGCAGGATGGGGTTGGGGGACATCTGTCCACACACAGCAGGCCATGCATGACAGTCTTGCCACTGTCCATCCCGCAGCTGCCCCTGATACGGGCTGGTGCCCAGCAGGGCAGTAAGACCGGCCCGTCCCAGCAGCTGGTGGACGGGGTGGGCGAGGCAGAACCGCCAGGAGGCACAGGGCCCATGGGACTCTCAGGGGCTCTGCAGTGCCTCCTGCTGGTCCCTGCCCTGGCGCCTGCTCCCACTTGTGAGCAGGTTCTCCAGGCTCCGGGTGTTCTGCATAAGGCGGGCACCTCTCTCTCCTCAGCCCAAGCTGCAGCACAGAGAATGCCAGTCAAAGCTACAGGCAACCCAGTCTCAGGGGAAGGGATGTAGGAAGGTGCGACTAGATGGGGTCAGTGTTTGCAGCAACGAGTCCCAGAGCTCTGGGGTCTGTTGATCTAGGAGTTGTAGTTTATGGAACCCACAGCAGTGTTAGAGACCGATCTGCATCGCACCCTGGACTCACTTCGTTTAGCCAACAAACGTGCAGGCAGATGCTGACCGAGGCCCTTGGGATGACGGTGGGACAGGATAGACGGCCCCCGTGGAGCTGACACCTGGTGGGAGCAGATGGTGTTGGGGAGGGACACCTGAGAGAGGGGTGACAGCCCCCCAGGGGGGTGGCATCTGAGTGCGGAGCCAGCGGGGGGCCAGCGCACCACAGTGAGGCGCGGCCCTCCCCTGGCTTCTTTTCTCCAGACCCCTCGGGCAGCAGTAGGCCGGCAGGCGCAGGCGAGGCCAGCCACCCTCTGGGGCTGCAGGAGCTGCTCGATGGGGTGGAGCAGGGAGTCGTGATTCTGGACTGTTTTCCATCTGAAAAATGGAAAAATCTGAGTAAAACTTGGTTTAAACAGTATCAAGTTCGAAAAATTTCTAAAAAGTGCTTGTATTCCCAGTTTTTATGTGCTGTGGATTTAAGTTTCCAAATGGACCAAAAAAATACATCATTAACTGCAAAAGTATGGCTCGAAAAGATGGAAGTTCAATTGCCTGCACATTATTGGGTGGAAAACCATAGACCCCTGTAGTGGTTCAAAGTTAGTTGGCAATTTTCTTCTCACTGTTGTGTGCTCTGGGCGTGACTGATAGGAAATTGTGGATCCAGGTACTTAACAGTGATATATATGTAAAAGAGCCTGGCGGAGATTCATTTGTAGATGCAGGAAGGTCTGGTACTCTCCCGTGATTTCCTTCTGTTTTCTGCGAAGGCTTTCCCAGTGCGGGCCTTGTAGAAGAACCAGCACCCTGTGGGCGGCTGCCGCTCTGTGGAGGGAAGGCGAGTTGAGGGGCTCTGGGCCCCGTGCCAGCCCCGCTCCCATGTGGAGGTTCTGGTAGGTGCCGGGCGCCCCCAGTGCAGCCCTGCGCAGAAACCCGGGCTCCGCAGGCCTCCCTCCTGGTTCTGGGATCTGGGGGCTGGAGCTCGGGTGTGCCCTGGCAGGGGAGGACGGAGGGCGGCTTCCCTTCTGGGCGCCTCAGGAGGGGGGCAGGGGTCTCGCGCTCACTGCAGAGCTGCTTCGGAGGGCCTGGGATGGGGGATGGAACCGACTCTGGAAAGGTACAGTGTTGTTTCCCCAGGGCAGTGGGCACGGGGTGGGGCGCTGCTGAGCAGGGGTGCGGTGGGGGCGACTCCAGCAGCCCCGTGGTGTGGGTGTGCTGAGGGTCTGTGACTCTGGGGGTGTGTGTGGGGGGGGGAGTAGAGGGGTGGGAGAGGGTAGGAGTGTGGAGGGGCAGGGCCGGGCCTGGGTGGATGGATGCCTGTCCAGCAGGGGCGAGGCAAGACCTGTGTTTTATTTCAGTTTTTATCCAAGTGGTGCCTTCATAGGCAGGTCACCTAATTTAGGCTTTTGCTGAAAATCAGTCATCTGTGGCCTTCACCTTTCTCTGAGGCAGTGCTGATGTTTTTAAAAAGTTGTGTATATTTGTATTTCTGGGTTGGCCGGTGTTAGGACCTGCTCCCTGTGACAGAGACGCAGCGCAAGGGACTCCCCAGGCAGGGCTGGAATGAGGTCCTAGCTGTCTAGGCCCAACTCTGCTCTGTGCGTGGCCTGTCACACGTGAGTTCACCCGCTGGGGGGGCCTGGGACAGAGACGCTGCGACAAAGGGTGTGTGTATGCCGTTTCTCGAGGAGGTTCCCAGAAGCTTCCACGTGACACTTCTGTGTTCATCCCGGTGGACACAACCAGTCAGGGGGGCTGGGAATGTCTTTCTTGGTGGCTGGCCATGTGGGTGCTCTGCCTCACGGAGGACGGGAGGAGTGGGTGTTGGGGTGAAGATGGCAGTCCCTGCCGTACTTTAGTTTCTAAGTAATAACTATGCTGGTTTGTGATTTATGTATTTTAGACGTTATCTGTTGATGTTCAGTTCAGATAGCAGCAGCTTGAGTTCACTTCACACTTTTTTGGCCTTTCCTTCTTGTGTTGTTTAGGAGTGCTTTTGGCTGAAAGTCCCAGAACACGTGACCCACAGTGTCTTCAACTAGTGGGGATTTATTCATTTATTTCATAGTAAGGAATGCAAAGGTAGGTTTTTGCTAGAGTTGGTTGAGAGCACAACCATGTCAGAGGTCTGGGTCCGTGTCTCAGCGGTTCTCCTAACCTTTCCCTCATGGTTGTGGTGTGGTTGCTGCGGTTCCAGCCATCACATCTGTATTCAAGCAGGAATAACTGGAAAGGGTCAGGCATGTCTGTCCTGTTCATCAGGGCATTCCAGAAGCCTCCATCATACTTTCATTTGTATCTCATTGTCTAGGACTGTCACATGGCCAGCTCTCGTCACAAGGGACGCTTGAGAACACGGGGGTCTGACTTGTGTCGCACCCCAGTAAAGGCGAGGAGCATGAGGCCAGGCAGCCTGGACTGGCAGCCAAGCTCTTCTGCTGGTTACCTTACTCTTTCCCCTGGAGCTCGGGCGGTCTCCCGGCGGCCCGCCGTGTCAGGCTGCGTGCAGACAACTGCCCTGCTCGTCACCTCCTTCTCACTCTGCTGCTCAGCTTCTGGCAGGTCTGGTTCTCTCCCTCTTTCCTTCTTGCACATAATCAATGCAGGAGACTTCATTTTCTGTTCTGTAACCATGGGTCAGTGGTGTTTCTATCATTACAGTGAGTGAATGTTCGTTACAGAGCCAAGTAAAACGTGTATGATCATACTTCCTTCTCGCCGTCCCCCGTGCCCTCCCTGCACACAGGAAAGTGTTAGAATGACTCCTCTCTTAGCTCGCTCCACTCATGGTGGGACGCTGTGCCACACTTACTTTGTAGTGGGATTGTGCCTTTTCTGTCCCGTGTTTCCTTCTCCCGATGCTCACGTTGGCTGGGCCGGTGGAGCAGAGCGGGGAGGGGCGTGGCCCTCCCCGGGCACCGCGCTCGGCCTCCCCGCCCAGTCTCCGTTCTGTGCAGCGGGGGTGGCCACGGTGGCCGCGGGCGCCGACAGGCTAGTCTGGGCGTGGCTGCCGGCCGTGGAGCTTCGTGTTGTTTCCGTGTTGGGAGAGGAACGACGTGCTCGCTTTACTCTCAGTCTTGTCCGGCTCGTTCATTCTGTTTGTTGGAATACATTCATTCCTTCTTCCTGAAATCTGTGTATTTCCTCTTTTATCTCAATAGAGACCGTGATTTTTGTGTTCTTAAGCTGGATTTATTGAGGGATGATTTACATGCAAAAAACCCACCTCTTTTAAGCGTTGAGTTTGATATGTTCTGGCAAGTGTGTATGGTGAGTACACCCCCCACTGCAGTCAAGACGTGGAGCCCCCTGTTCCTCCCTCCTGCCCACCCGGGGGTCTTGTTCCTTCATGGCCCCAGTGCGGCTGGTGTGATGGTGGCATCCCGGGACATTGTTTCCGTGTGACAGGATGCAGAGCGCGCTCCGCGTCCCACGGTCTCCGGGGCCCCTTGCACAGGCAACTCAACACCAGGTGGTGCTGTGGGATCGCTCCAGGACCCCGAGCCGCTACTGAGAGAAAACTTCATTTTCTTGTCAGGAATCCAGGTTCCCATGCATTTCCTCTGTGAACCCAGACGCCGGGTTCCTTCAGAGAAGTGTCTGTTTACTGGCTTTGTTTGAACCATTTTAAAGAACCTATGAGGTAGGGGTATGGAACATTTATAACTGATTTGGTTCAGTGAGTGATATGATTTGTAAATTAAATTTTATCAATTTATAAATTTAACAGTAATTAATTGAGTCTGTGGAGGGGCCTTCACTGTGTTGTGGAATTGGAAGATACAATTTTATACATCTGTTCCAGTGTTTTAAAAATTATTACTTGGCCTATAGCATTTATTGTAACATAATTTT